ACTTGTTACGTGGATGGAAGACCAAATTCAGGAGTGTATGCCGATTAGTCTACTCACAATCCAGGCTAAGGGAAGAAGTCTTTTTGAAACCCTTAAAAACGCTGATCCTACATATACGCAGCAGCAGTTTACTTCTCCTGCCTTCTCCAAACTCTTCACCCTTTTGTGAATAACCCTGTTAATGTCGATGAAACCAGCTTGTTCTGGAAGCGTATGCCGGAACGTACATATATTCAGCAAGAGTACAAGACAATGCCTGGATTCAAGGCATTCAAAGACCGTGTGATGCTGCTTCTGGGTGGAAATGTTGCTGGCTTTAAGTTGAAGCCACTCATAATCTACCACTCTGAGAACCCGAGAGCATTCAAGAATGTGAGCAAGCATACGCTTCCAGTCTCTTATCGTCATAACAAGAAAGCATGGATGACATTGGCATTGTTTGAGGATTGGTTTTTGAACTGTTTTATTCCACAGGCCAAAGAATATTGCAGTCAAAACAATATCCCTATTCAAGATTCTTTTGATTTTGGACAATGTTTCAGGACATCAACAACCAGGCCCGGATTCCCCACAAGGCCACCGAGGCCCGGCCTTGGGGCGGCAGTGCGCAGAGGGGCGGCAGCGGTGTCCTTGTGGGGAAGTTGCCCTCTCTACATTCAGTCCTGCTTTGTACAAGCAGGACTAAATGTAGAGTGAGGCAGACGATTTTTCGTTTACATGTGAAATCGGCGATGTCGCCAATTTCACATATAAACAGTGAGCCGCCTTCTCCCCCTCCCCCCTGCACTTACCTCTCTCCTTTGGTTCTGTCCTCCGCCGCCGGGTCCCGAGTCTCTTACTGCAGTGAACAGAGCGGCAGGGTTATAAGTACCCCTGCCGCTCCGTGCAGACTGTAGACAGTGAGAGGGGAGAGCTGTGCTCTTCCTCTCTCACCTGTCACTGGAGTTCCAGCACAGTACTGTGCTAGAACTCCTGTATTGGAGGTGACCGGGTCAATAAAGAGAACCTGTCACCTCCAATTGCTATTACACAGGGGATTGTTTTCTCCTGCGTGATAGCAAAAAAGTTATCACAGGACCTGGCCTTGGGGCGGCAGGGAGAGTAAATCCGGCCCTGTCAACAACATATCGGTGACATGGATCACGATGTAAAGGTTGTTTACTTGCCTCCAAACACAACCTCACTAATTCAACCCATGGACCAAGATGCAATTGCTTGATTTAAAATGTACTATTTATGCCACATGTTTGCACAAGCTGTTGAAGCAACTGATTCTAGCCAAACACTCCATGAGTTTTGGAAGGAATTTAACATTCTCAATAGTATCTGGAATATCAGTGCAGCATGGGAAGAAGTAAAGCAGCAATGCATGAAAGGTATTTGAAAGAAGAATTTGAAGACATATGTGAACACATTCAAAGGTTTCAAACAAGATTCTGCTATTGATGAAATCATCAATAACAACATCTTAGTGCTTGGTAAACAGCTTGAACTTGACATTAATGCAGAGGACATCCATGAGCTTGTTGGCATTGAGGCTGAAGAGCTTTCCAATGAGGAGGTAATCGAACTGGAGGAAGAGAGAAATAAAGCAGCTGAGGCAGATGAAGAAGAAGTAGAAGAGATACCTGAGACATCCAAAAAGTTAACTGCAAAGAACTTGGCAATTATGAGAGATTTGCAAGAGTTGACAGGCAGATTCAGGATGGTCTTGCCTGCTATAAATAAAGAAATTGATAATGAAAAGAAAAAAATAAACCTTCCAGTCTAAAATTTGTATTTTCTTGAGAAAGAATGCAGATGCCCCCGTGCATTCATAAAGTCCTGATGCCCCAGCGCCTTCTATCAGCTATTCTCAAGCCTTTTCAGAAGAGACAAAAATTGATGACCCTGTTGCTATAGCCTCCATCATCCTCATCATCCAGTAATTAAGTTTACTCAAACATTCTTCAGTCCCAGCGTGCTTTCACATGTATACGTTGGCAATGGTATTATCAATACAGTACAGTTCTGTATAAGCATTTTGTCTTTTTTTTCAATACAGTACGTTATTCAATAAATTACATGAGATATTCAACACTTTATCAAATACAGTCTAAAATATTGTATATATACACTGTATAAATACTGTACTGTCTATATCATAGCTTAGTCTACCTTAAACTTGGCTAAAACACTAACCTACAAATGGACAAAAGCCTACTGAATTTGATAATAAAGTGTTGAATATCATGTACTGTATATACAATTCCTCGGTTTGCGATACGATCGATTTACAATGGATTTATCGGAACTCAACCCCATCGTATCCTGAGGAGCATCTGTACTAGAATAGGAACACAAGAAAAATTTGCATTTTCAATCATTTATTCCACAAAAATATCAATAGATGTAATGGTGTACTGTGGAAAAACCAAGTACACCCTTGGCATCAAATGCTGAGTGCCTATGTAGCAGAAATTATTTTAGTGGGAATAAAATAAGGGCTTTGGCTAGGGAAGTCCATAACCCTGTACTATTCCTTGTTGGTTTCGCAAGTGTGCTTCAGATCATTATTGTGTCAAAGGACTCGTTTCTGGTTCAACTTAAATGTTCGGATGGCTTCACATTCTTATCAAGCAGTGTGCTTGATAAGATGCAGAATGTATAGTTGACCCAATGACTGTGAACTGCCTAGTCCTTGAAGCAGCAAATCAACCCCAAAACATAACATATCCACCACTATGCTTTACAGTTGTTATTAGGTTGTTTTCCTGAAATACATTTTTTTAGAGACTTCTTTAAGCATCAAACGATCTGCACTTGGGCTGAATTTGCTGGGCCAGCCATTCCTGGATAAATTAGCAGCTGTTTGAAATCAACAATACATGTAGATTATGCGCCTTACAGTGTAATGATTGATTTCTTTTTAAATCCCTTGCCAGACTCATGACATCCACAACTTTCTGAAGGCCTTAGAAAGCACTGTGCATCTTGGCATGATGACACCAGACAGCTCAATAGCAAAAAGAACACCAGACCCTACATCTGAGGTTTAAATAAGACAGGATCCACTTGCATACTTCTTAAGGAGGTTCTAATCATTGGCACTGGAACACTAGATTCTAATTTTATAGATTTGAAATGGTGGTTAATGTAGGGCTTTACTTACATTTTCCATATGACATCTTATTTTTTTATTCATATAAATCAGTGGTTCTCAACCTGTGAAACCTCAGGACCCACATTTGTCCTTGGTCATTAGGTCGCGACCCAAGTCTGCAAAGTCTGCAGTGCAACACATGGAACACACGGCATTAGGGTACCGCGCTTTCCTGTGCGGGCCTACGAACTGTGGGTGGGAAGTGTGTTTGAGGTATTATTCCAATGAATACAATGCGCCGGGCAGCATATTTTGAATGGCTGCTTGGCACAAGAACTCACAGTGCTGCACTAGGGGAAGCAGAGGATCCTCTCATCTAGAAAAGTGGAAGACATGCGGCAACCCACTGAACATGGGGTCACGACCCACCAGTTGAGAACCAAGGATATAAATGATTATGCCATGAATGCACCATTTTATGTGTCATTTGGTCAGGTATTTCACCTTCAACTGTAGGCAGTATTTCATTCAAAATGTACAGGGTTAAAAGTTTGGAGAAAGCAGGAAACGTGAATAATCTAGGACAACATAGCTGATTTAGAAAAAGTATCCAATTCAGCTCACTTTCCAGTTCAGCTATGTTGTCCTAGATTTTTCACTTCTCCTGCCTTCTCCAAACTCTTCACCCTTTTGTGAATAACCCTGTAAATGTTTGCTTGTTCAAACATGTTCACAAAGTCAACAATTTCCATGGGGTGTACTACCTTTTTCACATGACTATATATTGCACACGTCTTCAACTCCGGCCCTGTAAAATGAAAAGAGAGGCAGCAGCAGATGATAACATCCTTTATATAGACTTTTTTTTTTTAGCTAGAGAGAGGGGCTTGTGCTGCTATCACTATGGGGGTCAAGGGTTGGATGCACCCAATACACTTGGCAAATAGGACATGGAGTCATTTTAAATATGGCCTACCAAATGAGCGAAAATGTTGCTGTCAAATAGTATTGGTAATCAATATTCATGGCCACTGAAATGTTGACTTTGGAGATGATGGGGGGGATGATGGGAAAGGGTTAGAATCCCTATTGGGTTTTTACTGCTACCCTTAAAGAGATTAACCCATACATCCTGTCCTGCAGACAGCCTTTTACCAGGCATGAAGTGAATGTAAGTTAAATGGTAAAGGGTAACAGTAAATTAGGGGAAGGCTAGAACCCCTGTCAGATTTTTTTTCTGCCTTTGTTCCCATTGCAGATTTCCCTCACTTCTTGTCTGGTAGAACAAAATATAATGGAGTTCTGGATAGCAGTAAAAACCTGATGGAGCTTAAAAGGTTTATAACCCAATCTAAAACTAAAATTAAAGTTTTAGCTTGAAATACACTTTAAATATGACAATTATACAATGATATTGTAACTTGTGTGGTTAGCTTAAGAACTGCTGATTTTTACCAACAGGCAATAATCACAACTTTCAGCTTCTAAACATGATTTTACCAGGTAGGTGTGATTGGTGGCTGAGTAAGTAACAGTTCCTAAAACTGGCACTTTAATAAAGCCCATTGTGGTCTAAATGTGACCATCCAAGCATCAGGGGGCAAAACGCTACATGCAGCCATGTATGCACACCACTATAGCACAAAATATCAAGGCAGTTATGGCCAGTTCATAGTTTACCGATCAGATCAGCCTTGATGGATCCTTACATTTCTGAACATTTAAAAAAATACTTTAAAGGGATGGATTAAAATGGCTTTGGCTGGAAAGGACAGTAGTTGTGTTAACATTTAAATAAGTGAAGAGCTTTGAAGATAAACTAGATTTTTCTCCTTCACTACTCCAACTGTTTGCTACACCCATGTTCTTTCACAATATCATTATTTTTAGTTCATCCATTTAGTGATTGCAATTATCCCTGGATTTATTATATTTCTACTTAAATATTTTAATAAAGAATTGTTCACTATCACATCTAAATATCTGCTTTATATGAAGGCACCTCTCTTTGCCACACCTTGGTATAACCAAGCAGTAGCATGCCTTGTGCACATCACGATGCATATAACACTGTCTCTGTACCAGCATAACTGCTGACACTATTAGCTAATAAAATAGGGATCTTGGTCATATTTGAGTTTTGTTCTCGATTCTTCCAGCTTGTTTCAGTTTTACATCCAAAGCCATGTCCTCCAAATCAATGTTATTGCTATCAGTTCCCCACCATCTCAGAACAGAGGGATTGTGGTTAATTTCTTCAAAGTCACTGTCTCCTGACTCAAGTGCAGTGGTAGATGTAGAGGCTCACTTCCTCTGCCACCTTCTGTACACACAGTCTGACATTTGCAACTATGGCTGTCCATCCTAGTCTGTTGACTTTATGGCTTGGATAGCTAGCTCCAATATTCAAGATGGCAGATGTGCTTTGGGTCATGAGCGAAGCGACAATTATATAGAATTTAGTGCTCCCTGGAGGTGGTGGACTTGTGATTAATACAGCTTTACCTCTGTACTAGCTCCTCTGCAGTCCTATAGCAGGATGGAGCCGGGCTAGTATGGAGCAAACATTATAGGTGCTGGAGAATGCCGAATAGCAGTTGGCGGACTCCGGAAAAGAGCTGGTCCCAGGAGAGGGGTCTGGAAGATTGCAGCATCTGTGGTAGGGCGCAGAGCAAGAGGACTGGGTAGAGTGCAGACTGCTGTCGGAGTCAGATGGCTCGGAAGAAAGCGAGCAGCCAAAGTCTTAGTCAGATGTTTATGTAGAGCCAGCCTGGTCTATAAACATAAAATAAGAATATTTATAATAAAACTTACAGAAAAATGTTTTACCTTTATCTGACAATAGCAATGTTCTCGAGCTGGTATGCTAACTTCACTGCTGAATGCAAAAAAACAATACATCCTGTCATGATACCAACTTTATCTTTAATTAAAGATATCACTATCATTATGATTGAAGAAGCTGTGAAATGGTCTTTGAGTTATGTATGGTTTGTGTACACTCACCGCTAAAGCAGCATTCTTCTGCAGCTTACTAAATGGACTGTATTTGGGCTTTGGAGGTTTCCCAGCCAATCGATCTTTGTGTCTTCTGCTGTTCATGTGCTGAAACAAGATAATAAACAGATAATGTAACACTAATGCTGTCTGTCATAAACAAAAGAAAACACATTGACTTCTGTGCATGAGGTACCTTTTAACTTCATATAGCAATATGGAAGTTATGTGGTGACTAATTACATTCCCTTTAAATGTCACTTTTGAGCCTTTCAACATATTCCTGGAAATACGGAAGTAGTTTTAGTTTTGGATAAAGTGGGGGGAAATGTAACATTTTTGTCTGTTTTTTATTTTTGTTTGTGCACAAGGGAGATGTTCCCTCACTTCCTGTCACTGCAACACCAGTAGAAGAAATAAATGGAGAAGTTGTTACCAGGACAGGAGGCAAAGACTGCAAAGTTCTAATCTCTCCTCACTCTTCAAAAATTGTTGTGTGCACTCTATGGTGGCCACTCCATGTGTGAAAATTAGGTCTGCCTGAACCACTCTTTCACAATTTGAATCTGATGAATCCTGGCATTGTCATCTTGGAATATGCCCGTGCCATCAGGGAAGAAAAAATAAATTGATGGAAAAACCTGGTCATTCAGTATATTCAGATAGGCGGCTGACCTCATTTTTTGGCACATAAGGTTGCTGAACCTAGACCTATTATCCACTGGAAGGTTCTGACCTATTTGCTTGGCTAAATCCAGGTGGGGACTTTTTTTTTGACAGGCAGTGTATAAAAATCTCCATAAAGCAGAGCCAGCTGTCACTCACGCAGCTGGACGGATCCAGACATAATTGTCGGGATCCGCTTCAGCTGCGGCGTCTCAGTATACCGCAAGCTGTAGCTCGTGGTATACTGAGCTTAGGGTGACGGGAGGACGCTAGTTTGTGTCCTCCCGTTACCCTAAGGAGAACTATGGGGAAAAGCCCTAACCCCATAGTTCTCCTTTAAGTGATGCCTCTTGCTTCCACTTGTTTCCAGCAGTCCCACCAGCGTTGGTGCCGGTCTGTGATCCATCGCATACTGCTCTTTCTTCCTATGACACTAAATCTGTCCGGTGTGCACGTCCATGGCTGCGTGCATTGACTTCTACTGAGCCTCTCCTCCTCACCGCCGCTGACATGGACTGCGCATGCGCCTGCCCACATCATCCTCCTGCATGGGTGTTCTGGAACTGTGTACTGCAGCCAGGGAGCGAGTGGTCCAGACAGAAGTAAGTCATTGTCTATTAGACAATTTCTTATTTTTTTTAAATGTTTTTGCATATATCTATTGCTTGCTAACAGCAGATACGGTATATGAAAAAAAAAACCCATAGACTAATTCTACTTTAAGTGCTCATTCATGACAAAGGGTAAAGCACATTTAATTACCTGAATAAGTAAATGTGCCGAGCTCCAACAATGATCAGATATAAAGAGTATAAAAAAAACAGTGACTGACAAACAAATGTCAGTGAAAAAAATCAATCAGGTGTAAAGTCTTTAAATCTTCATAAATCTGCAAAAATGTCCAAATATAGCAATAGTGATGAATATTTCTTGTTCCTTCACCAAATGCACCACGTGCACCACACCAGATATAGGGGTGCTCACCTTATTGATAGACCCCAGCAAGAGGTCAAACCAGGCAATTCCCTTCTTAACCAGGGGAGGGGGCCCTCAGCTCCAATCGCTCACAGATGTCCTCCAATGGTGTAATCAGACCAGCAAACAGATCTGTGCAACACTTCTTAAATCGTGTTGACCGGGCGGAGCATTTGACGTTACATTGATCTCCACGACTGACGGCCGCAGTCATTTGAAACTCTTGCACATACTCTTAAGAGAGAGTCCATGCTATGTTACCACTGCTTTTATGTGAGTAATTTTCTTTTAATAAATCATACTCTATTTGGATGGTACGCGCTATGGTGTTTGCTTTCATTTTTCGGTCAACACGATCCTGGCATTGACACCTTATACTGAGGAGGCCTATAGATCGATAAAGATTGGAGGCTAGTGCTTTCCTATTTAAGAAGTGTTGACAGATCTGTTTGCTGGTCTGATTACACCATTGGAGGACATCTGTGAGCGATTGGAGCTGAGGGCCCCCACCCCTGGTTAAGAAGGGAATTGCCTGGTTTGACCTCTTGCTGGGGTCTATCAATAAGGTGAGCACCCCTATATCTGGTGTGGTGCACGTGGTGCATTTGGTGAAGGAACAAGAAATATTCATCACTATTGCTATATTTGGACATTTTTGCAGATTTATGAAGATTTAAAGACTTTACACCTGATTGATTTTTTTCACTGACATTTGTTTGTCAGTCACTGTTTTTTTATACTCTTTATATCTGATCATTGTTGGAGCTCGGCACATTTACTTATTCATTTTTCACGTATACACACTCACAGTGGGTGTACATTCTAGTGCCTTGTAGCTGTTAGCTTGCTTATTGGCGCAGTTCATTTTCTATATACATGGAATTACCTGCTCCCTGTGGCGGTTGGCGCTCTTGTTTTCTCCCCACCACTCTGGCTGGTGGAATATCCCTCTCGCCAGAGCGAAGGGGAGAAGAGGCTGTGGAGACCAGTCTAGCAGTCTAGAGGAAGCCAGCAGGAGCAGAGATCGGAAAAGTAGGATAGCTTTTTCCTGTGCCCTAGGCATAAACAAGCACTTTACCCTTAGTTTTTGGGTTTGCCCAGAGATGGGCTTTACCTACTAATGCAAAATCCTTCCAACCTTCTTTGTTTTGGGATCCCATAACTCCTGCATTCATATCTGTTCAAATGAGCCTTCCGACTAAATGGAAAACTATATTTGTATATGCTGGTCAAGCAAAGCAATGCAAGGGGCAATAGTAATGTGTCAAGCTGAGTAGTCCACAGCAACCAAGCAAAAATTATCCTGTAAGTGAGCTGATTAGAAAAAAATGAATCTGATTGGGTGCTCTGGGTTTGAAAATTGCTTCTGGGATCTGGAGTTCTTGCACGAAAAGCCCAGCAGCGACAAAACATGCAGGATGGTGAATCTCCCAAATAGACAAATTGATTTGTTAACATGAAACAAAGCACTTTCACATCAAGTTCTTTTGTGGTCTGAACTTTCACCAGAAAGTAGTAGGCATAGAAACATTTACTGATTCCCTCTACGAACTCCCTGTACTAGCGTAAACCAGGGGAGAGGTGAGAAGAAGGGAAGTGATATCACTAGTCATAGATATCAAATAAAAATAAACTGTAGATGTTCTAACCATTCCCCATTCTCTTCAAAACAGAAGACGAAATAGGTTTTGGCTGGAGTTTGGCTTTAAGACATCTTGTAGACTATTAGTTGGTTATAACACAGGTATTAGCAAATAAGGGTCAGCCACCTGTTTGAGCTGGGTTTCAGAGTTGACATGGATCTCACACACGGGGCAATTGAAGGCTTTGTTCTGGATACCAATGCTGGTCTTATTACCAATCCTCTTGGGTTTCCGGGTAGCACGGCTTAGTGCTTTTCCTCTGCTCCTTCTTGGGTGAGTGCTCTGTCCTTCCAAGATAGATTTGTGCTTTGCACCTGTAACAAAAACAATATATTACTGCTATAAATGCCAAATGTCCTGATTTTTGGGAGATGCAGATCAGATATAAAACATAGGCAGCTTATTGGTTTGTAAAAGTATTGATATGTTCCTCCCAGAACCCATGACATAGTAAAATCTAATGTATATACAATCTTCCATACAAACATTAGATATTGCAACCTAGTTACAACTAGACCTGAAAATTACATCACTGCCTCTCTGTGACAAGAGTTGCCAAAGGGAGTCTTTAATACATGTAGCCAGGTCATACAGCATTGAATGTTTATGGTATCTGTACACGCTGTAACATAAAAGCACTAGACACCAAGGGGAAATAGAAGCAAAAACAAGGGATACAGGTAAAAATGAACTAGACACATGTGGGATATAGACAGTATAAGTAGATATTATAGGGATATGGGCATAAAAACTCTAGAAACTTTGAGATAATAGATACTAAAACCACTAGATAGCCAACTACAAGCTAATGGCACTGAAAGGTCCTCATGCCAGCCAATGGCAAACATCTAAACTATATTTTATATCTGAACTCCACGCAAAAAGCTCAATAGACACATGAAATCTGCCAAAGGCTTGCGGTGCTTCACTTCTCAGACTAATCCCCCCACCCCAGCTTCTTACTTATCCCAGTAGTGGAGCTGCATCCTAGGCAGAATTACTCTATGGTTCTCACTGACCTGTCCCTCAACTGGCTTGTCCCAGCGCCCCAGCCCCATACAAGTCGATGAGGGCTAAAGGTGCCCATACACTGCACGATTATCGTACGATAATCGTATGCGATCGGGTTTTCGTACGATAATCGAGCAGTGTGAACGGAGACGTGCGACCGTTTCTACTGTACGGTAGCACGTCTTCTGTCGAACCAGCATGTTCGAAAACCAGCCGGGAATCGTACAATTCTCGGCTGGTTAGAACGGTGCTCGGAAGATAAATGCTGAACGGGCCGGTGTGCGCACGCGCACACTGCCCGTTCAGCATTGCGGTCATCGGAAGCCCGCCCCTCAGGAGGGCGGGCTTGCGATGATCGAGAGTGCGATCTGCCTGTCCAAGATAGGCAGATCGTACGTTTTTTTAATCCCTTTACAACCATCGCAAGACTAAAGTCTTGCGATGGTTGTAGAGTGTATGGCCACCTTAAGTGTGCAGGCATGATCACCACAGAGAAGATTCCTGTTAAAGTGAGTAAACATTGCCGCAGGAAGAGGCTGTACTTTAGAGACAAGTAAGAAACTGAGTTGAGGGATTAGTTCAGGAGGGGTTGGGGTGGATAAGAGAACTTATAAAAAGGTATTGTTGTCCTTTAGACTGGGTTCACACCTAGGTGACAGCGTTTTTGCGCATTTATGCGCACGTCTTTGTGTGTTTTTTGCGCATAAATCAAATCGCGCATTTTTGTGAGCAGATTGTAAATCATTGATGTTAATGAGCAAACGCACATAAAACGTGTGTAAAAACACAGCTAACGCTTTTCTATTGAGTCTATGGGGCCAAAACGAGCTGTAATATGCCAAAAAAAAGCTCATGTACTTTTTCCAGCGACAGGCGTTTTGCTTATTGCAACAAAACGCTCAGATGTGAACAGGGCCATAAAAATTAATGGGATTTTTTTTTGGGGGCGGGCATACATTTTGAGTGTTTTTAGGGCAGAAAAAGCACTACAAAATGCTTAGTGTGAATCAGGCCTTAACGTGATCTTGCTGAGCTCCCAAATGTAGAAGAAAGGGTCATTAGCCATAAACATTTTTTTTTTCTTACTGATATACAAAGGTACCCACTGGATTTCAATATTCAATAGTATATGTGTACCCACAGGCACATATACTATTGAATGTGTAGAATTGAACCTAATTACTTATTAACAGTATGAAGGCAAGTGTTAAGAAATTACATCACAAAAATGTTGCCAATACTAACCGGCATTATGAGCCTCCAGTTGAGATGCTGAGTTCACAGTAACCTTGCAGGTGGCACAGTATAAATGCTCTCTATTCTTTTTTTCCTTCTCACTGTCCTGAGTGGAAACACAGTTTTCTTCAGAGGGCTTCTCTGGACTACATGGTTCCTCTGGAGCCAGTGAGCCAGTATCCATCAACTCAGCACTGCTGTCTAAGGTCTCTGGAGAGGCACAATCCTCCTCCGGAACAAGGTTCTGAGGTTCAGGGGTTGGAGTTTGGCAACTTGGCTCCATGTCCAGTTCGTTAACCCTGGTAATTTCATCCTGTGCATCTGCTGCTACAAGAAGACAAAAAGAAGCACACAATTACAAAGTAAAAGCATTCTACAGTAAACTCCCCATTATCTGGCATTCCAGCAACCCAAAAAAAAAATCGTGGACATTTTTCCTCAATTTTGTTTTGCCAGTTGCTTGATAGACATGTGCACAATAAGCAATTTTGTTAGCAACTAATTTATTTAGTTGCTAAGGAAATTCTCTGTTTACATCTCGCTGTGGCCGACGGCTAGATTCCCCAGCTGGCAGGTGAATGTAAAGAATGGGCAGTGGGCATGTGCAATAGCCAGCCTGCTATTGGCTATGACAATCTGAAATAGCCAATAGCAGGATCTAGTTAGCAAATAAACGTTTGCATGAGAGTTAATAGTAACTCTCAAGTAACCAGAAACTACAGTTGTCTGTCATCTACCAATCCCCATGGGTGGCGGATAACGGGAGTCTACTGTAGTACGATTAAGAGCATAGAATAAATAGTTCCGTAATTCAAACAATCTACTTTTGTAGCAATCTAAAAGAAGAACCCTATGGCTTTCCATTATTTCTGGTCATAATTACAAATTAATACGAGAAACTAAAATACCTGGATTACAAATCACCACAATGTGATGGACTTGCATCCAAAGAAATGCTTTTCTTTTGATATGTTGGTTGGGTACATAAAACAGGACCCAGAAACAGTGCCAAGCACTGCGCCAGAATTATAGGAAGAAGATATGAGTAAAACTTGTGTTTACTATAGTTTTTTTATTGGATTTTGTCAAGAAAAGACTCAGGAATGAAAATAACTAAGTAGGACAAAGCAATCCTAACACAAAGTGCCATCCTCAGAAAAAGAAGTAACTAATATTACATTTATAGTGATGTTTTTATATACTGTTAGGACTAGAGGACAAGACACAGGGGAAGCAGACTGAGACAGGACAGAATACATTCGGGAGATAAGGTAACAGAATAGAGAGGGTGTGATGAAGTGTTGCATGGTGACAACTAAAGCACAACAACCATGTAATTAAAGAAAACCTGCCAAGAGAGAAACATGAAGGTTGCCATTGTTGACCTCCTTCTGGAAATACTAGTTACCCAACTGTCATGCTGATGCTCTTAACTTCAGTACCTTCAGTGTCACTGACTTAGAACAACTAGGGATGCACCGATACTGGTTTTTCGGTATCAAGCACGAGTACCGATACTTTGCTCTCGGTACTCGTCGATACCGGTGCTTCCGTTGGCATGGAGCCAGCTTCCCGGGCAATCTGATTGCCCGAGAAGCCGGCTACATGTTGTCTGGCCGGCTTGATTGTGCTTGGCTGAGAAACTGGCTTCCCAGCCAATCAGCATAGAATCGGCTTCCCGGCCAATCAGGAAGCCGGGCAATGACCCACCTCCCAGCTTCCTGATTGGCTGGAAAGCCGGCTTCCCGGCCAATCAGCTTGGAATCGGCTGTTTGGCCAATCAGGAAGCCGGGAGGCTGGTCATTACTCTCCGCCCAGCTTCCTGATCGCACTGGAAGTTGGCTCCATGTTCCCCTTTCTCTGACCAGAAGTTCCACTATCAGGGAAGGTATCGGAGCATTTGGGCGAGTACAAGTATTCACCCAAATACTTGGTATCGGCACCGATACTGATACTAGTAACGGTATTGGTGCATCCCTAATAACAACTATATAGAAAGTAAGATTAGAAATCCAGATCTGTATCCTTGCTGTGGGTCCATTGCTCATTTCTTTAAAACAGCACACTAAAACACAGAGGTATGAATTCATTCCCTCTGCACAACAGAGTTTCCAATTATCTGTGAAAGATTTAAAACATGTGAGGTTGGCAATCTATCATATCACTCTACTGCAGCCTTTCTCAACCAGCGTGGATTGGCACCCTAGTGTGCCTTCTGGCTTCCCCAGGGGTACCTCAAAATTTTCACCATCACCATGGAAACGAGTGATGGTAATCCAGCCACAGCTGCAGCTCCTGATATTGAAGGGGGTTCTGATGTGAAAAGGCGGCTTCTGATGTGAAGAGGGCTCCTGATGTAAAGGGGGGGGGGCTTCTGTGGCGAAAGGGGGGAAAAGTGGGGAAAGGGGGGCTCTGGTGTAAAGGGAGAAACTCATCTTTTTGTGTGTTTTGGCATAAGGTCTTTGCTGAAAATCCATACCAGACCCCTATCTGGGATAAGGGTTTGCTATGGATTTTGGAGGGGCAACAATTTTTTTACATTTGTTTTTTACATTTTAGACTGGGATGTCTTGAGATTTTGCATATTTTTATAGGGTGCCGCTTCTGGAAAAAAGGTCAAGAAATGCTGCTCTGTTGCCCTTCTCTGAGCTCTCTCTAGTTCAAGGGCATCCTGCCTAAGGATTGGTGACCAAAACTATTCTGCAAACTCAAGATAAGGTGGAACCAGCGTTTAGTGTATTGGTAAAATTACAGTTTTATCTCTTGAGAAAATCCTTTTTTTAATGCATGATAGTATACTGCTTGTGCAGCTTGGCATTGTTAGAGCTATAGTTATAGCTCTACATAGCTTGGTATAATCTGCAAACACTTAAATAGAGTTATTTATTCCAACCTCTATATGCCTTATAAACAAGATTAACAGAATTGTTCCAGGACCGAGCACTGGGGTACTTTGCTCACAACAACTCTGCTCATATTAAAATTGATTCTCTTTCTATG